TTTTTTTTTTGCAGCAATAATGCTGAAAGAAGAACCTTTTCTTTTCAAACTCATCTCACTGCCTCTTTTAACCACTACTATTTCTTCTTCTACACCCCACCTATCAGGAGGATCAATTAGCCAAAAAGTTTTCAAAAATATCTGTTCTGGTTATATATAGCCGGGCTAATTATCTTGGTACGAACTTTGTCCGCCAAGGAATATCCCATCACAAATTCGTGGTTCAGATCCAGCAGGCATGTTTTTTTCTCCAAATATTGGTTCACCGACTCCTTGTTGGCAAATCTAATGGTAACATTCTTCTCCGTCTTCTCCTAAACCTTTAAGTTCCAAAAAATAAAATAAGTAAACTAAAAAATTCAAAAGCAGAATGAAATTTATTAAAAGTTTCTCACCCTAACAACTCTAGTGAGCCTGAGCTGAGATGGAGTTCGTTGGGACAAATGCCTGTGATCAATCTCGTAGTAATAACCGCATGGAAGGTTTCTCTGCGTCCGTACCAAAGACTTGCCCTAATGTGCCCCCTCGAACTCCATGCGGTTATTACTGCGAGATTGATCACAGACATTTGGTACGGCACATGGAAGGTTTCTCTGCATCCTCTCTGAATATAAAAAACATGAATTTGGAGGGACGTCGCAGAGAGGAAAGTCGAAAAATGAACCTAACCCTAATGTGCATTTTTAATACTCAAGGCAAATACAAAGTGCTCAAACCAAATAATGTTTTTATAACGTCTGCAAATTTCAACAGAAAACACAAAATGCATGATCGATGAGGGGTACGATATAGCTCCAAATCTGACAAATCCCTGAAAATAAAAAAATTAAAAATTAAAAAAAAAAAAATTAACAGAACAAACGATGAGCTAAGAGATTGATCCTAACCAGTGTAGATTAACTGTTTCTGATCTCCAGAAATGGAGATGCTTCAGCCAAAGCACCAGTAAAACGCTCTCTAAGGTCTAGGGTTTATTGATAGGGAGTGAGTGTGCTGAGTGAGATTTGAGATTTTGTATATACTATCTGCTATGTGCTCTAAGAACCCATGGGCTTAATCACGGCCCAAGTTAGGCCATTGGTGTGGCACCGTGGTCCTTATGATGGCCCAAGTGTCAGGGCTCAGTCAAAACAGTCCATATATAGCCTATACATGGTCATTTCCTCGGGCCGAGGGTTGGAGGGCCTTAAACAATTTTTATAAAATGGGTTCGATTTTCCCCAAAATCAGTGACCAAAAAAAAAAAAACGGATTCTTAAAAAGTTGGAAAGAATAAAAAACACCAAAAATTTTATTTAATTGAAAAGAATAAAATTATTTATCTAATATATATAAATTTATTTATAAAGTAATCATATGTTACAAGTTGGAAAAACTGCTATTATATAAGATGATGGCTATGTTTGGTAAACCAAATAAGCTAGCTTATAGCTTATTTGGTTAGCTTATAAGCTTCTTGTATTCAAATAAGCCCCGTTTGGTAGAACGAGCTTATTTAAAAAGCTCGAGCTTATTTGATAAGCTTGTTTATGTAGTTTTCAAATAAGCTAGTTGAATTTTTTATTCCAGCTAGTTTATCAGCTAATTTTACCAAACACCTTTATCGTATAAGTTAGCTTTTCAGCTATAAGTCATAAGCTATAAGCTATAAGCTCGAAAATTACATATAAGCTATAAGCTAGCTTATCAGCTATCAGCTAACTTATCAGCTAGTTTTACCAAACATAGCCGATATGCAAGGTAAGAAGTCATTTTAAATATATTTATAAAAATATTTTAAATTTAAAACACTTTTTTTTTTCTAAATATAAGAATAAATTTGTTATAGTCATCTTTGATGCTGAAAAGAAAAGTCCCGTTTTCTTTTTACTTGGAAGACGTTATAATCCTCTCTACATATAATTGCAGAATGTGTTGAGCCTAATTGACAACCTTGCACGCTTCGAATCATCTTTGGTGAAAAAAACATGCTTCTTAATTTGATTTGGATAAAAAATAATATTATTCTAAATAATAATTACAAGTTCGGATATTCCCAAAATATTGAAAAACTAACTTGGTAATTCCATAACAGTTTGACTAATATAATCCTTATATTGTATGGGAACCTTAGATAATTATACTGATTGACTAATATGACCTTGATTTATTTTGGAAGGTCTGTGTCTCATTAATTTCCATGAAAACTTCAAATTAGCTTAAGACTTGTTAGCTAATTAAAATAAGTTTTTTTAACAATTACCGTGTACCGTACTAGTGTAAGTTTTAGGCCATCTCCAACCGAAAACCCAAACTCAAACCCATTTTGCAGTAACTATCCCATTTTGCAGTAATTCATCTCCAACCGAAAAACTCATTCTCAAACCCAAAAGAATATTCCCAGAATATTCTCTTTTACACCAACTTTTATAACTTTTCAATACTACCCACATATTTTACAACTTTATAAATTAAACCACACTATTATTTTAAATTCAATTTGGACTTATGTAAGTAAAATTAATTATACATAATAAAATCGGAGAAATAAATATTCATTAAAAATTAAAATTTTACCACACAAATAAAATTAAAAATTACAATTCACAAGATTAAAAATTAAAAATTACAACACACATGAAACTTAGAACACTATTGAAAATATACAATTTAGTGCAAATTTACACTCTAGACCATATATGGTCTAACGCATATATTCACATTTTAAAAATTGTTACTTTTTTTCATTGTATTAGTGCAAATTAAATTATAGATATAACATTTAGTGCAAATTTACACTCTAGACCATATATGGTCTAGCGTATATATTCACATTTTAAAAACTGTTACTTTTTTTCATTATATTAGTGCAAATTAAATGATAGATATAACATTTATTATTTTAAATATTATACTAATTATTATTTTACATTAGTATTATTATTTTAAATAAATATATAAATAATATTTATTAATGTAATTATCATATTATCTAATAAATTAAATAAAGGGACTAAAATGAAATAAAAATAAAGAAGATGAAAGAGAAAAAAAAAAGGACTGAAATGAAAAAAAAAGGCTCAGACGCAAATTTTTGCGTAGACGCAAAATTGCGTCCAAACAAAGAGAGAGAAGAGGAAGATCGCATTTTGCGATCCGATTTGCAGCTCGGTTGAAGGAATTCTCACTGCAAATTTTGGGTTTTCCGTCGGTCTTAGAACTGAAAAATGGCTTTGCTCAAACTCTTTTTTTGGATGTACGCCGTTTTAGAATCTCTTGATGATTTCTGAATTCCCAATCCCAAGCGAAAGCCCTAGCAATCAAGAAGCAGGATTCACCCCACCACCATAAAAGACTCCTCTCTCTTTTTTTTTTTT